GAGCCTGCTTCTCTCTCTCCCTCTGCCTGTTGCTCCCCCTGCTGTTCTCTCTCTCTCTCTCTCTCTCTCTCTCTCTTTCTCTCTTTCTTTCAAATAAATAAAATCATAAAAAATAAATTTATTTATTTAAATAAAAAGTGCTATATTTTATAATGCCAACTGATTTGCGGTGTTTTACTCTGTACAAAGAAAGTCATGTTCTAAGTGGCTCTTCTCTATTAAGGTTTAATCTTACCCTCCATGAAAGAGGTAAATATGATTTTGGTGTAGCCTGAGGTTTTTTTAATCTAATGAGGTTTATTTGTTATAATGGACTATCTATTGAATAATGCCAAAGATAATCTAGCATTAAATCGGTTAACTTTCTCGTTGGTTCAAATATACAGAAGATAATTTACTTTTGAGAGTTGTTTTTTGCACTCTCAAAGCCAATAGTAAGTGCCTTGTTTTAGTGAAAATAAATAGAGTTTGAGTCTTCTGGAATTTCTGGGTTTTCCCCTGCTAATTCTATATCAACACTAGCTCTTCTTTAATTGTCTACTATTTGTTTTCTGTTTGTGCAGGGATTTGAAACCAGACAATATGCTTATTTCTAATGAAGGTCATATTAAACTAACAGATTTTGGCCTTTCCAAAGTTACTTTGAATAGAGGTAAGAAAAATAGCAGGTAAATACATTTTTAAAAACCCAACAACTACTTGCTATTAACTTACACTATTTTGTTCATTTATAATGCTAAAATTTGATGATTATTTGTTCCCAAAAAGACTAGAAAGGTATAATGGTATTTCCTTTCAATTGAAGATGAAAGATGAAAAAAAAGGGGCACGTGGGTGGCTCAGTGGGTTAAGCATCTGCCTTTGGCTTGGGTCATGATCTCGGGGTCCTAGGATTGGGCCCGTGTCAGGCTCTCTGCTTGGTGGGGAGCCTGCTTCCTCCTCTCTCTCTCTGCCTGCCTCTCTGCCTACTTCTGATCTCTGCCTGTCAATAAATAAATAAAATCTTTAAAAAAAAAGAAAAATGGGGGGGAAAAAGGATGAGAAATGGAAATAATCATTCCTAAATCATCAAGGACATTCAAAGTTCTTTGGATCTTCAAAGAGGAACTCAAAATTTCTGTTCTTCTGACTTTGTGTCTACTGAAACTGGTTTGACCAATTAAACATCAGTAAAGTGACTAAAATAACTATAAAATGATAAACAGTGATACCTGCAGAACGTATTCAAACTGACAGAACCAACACCAAGACCTTGATAAACAAGGGCAAAGAAAATGAACACAATTCACACGCACACGTATATGGGAGTATATTAATTTCACTCTCGGTAATGAAAGAAATGCTAATTTAAAAATAATAAATGAATCATTTCACTGTTAAACTAGGCAAAAAAAGAAAAAAAAAGAGAGAGGGAGAGAGAACTGAAGATCTAAAATTAATGAGACTGCAAAACCACAGTTAGTTTTTCCAGAAACATTGTAAATTAGCACAGTGCTTTCCAAAGGTTATCTACCAATGTGTTTTAAGAAACAAAAGAGTTGGGGCGCCTGGGTGGCTCAGTGGTTTGAGCGTCTGCCTTCGGCTCGGGTCATGGTCCCAGGGTCCTGGGATCGAGCCCCGCATCAGGCTCCCTGCTCAGTGGGGAATTTGCTTCTCCCTCTCCCTCTCCCTCTGCCTGTCTCCCTGCTTGTGCTCTGTCTCTCTCTCAAATGAATAAATAAAATCTTAAAAAAAAAAAAAAAGAAAGAAAAAAGAAACAAAAGAGTGTAGGATGCCTGGGTGGCTCAGTTGGTTAAGCAACTGCCTTCAGCTTGGGTCATGATCCTAGAGTCCTGGGACAGAGTCTGTTGTCGGGCTCCCCGCTCAGCAGGGAGTCTGTTTCTCCCTCTGACCATCCCCCTGTCATACTCTCTCTCGCTCTCGCTCTCACTCTCAAATAAATAAATAAAATTAAGAATTTAAGAAAAGAAACAAAAGAGTTTAATTCTTTTTGACCTAATTAGTCTGTCTTAGAATTTTTCTAAGGAAATGGTTCAAGAGAACAAAATATAGGAATAAAACTTTGTAGCAGCATTGTTTCTAATAGGGAGAAACTAGAAATTACTTAAGTTTATCATAGAAACATGGAGATGTTTCTATGAGAGCTTACTGACTTGGTAGCATATTGAATTATTAAAATGGTAATAGATAGAAATAAATGAACAGGAGAGCACAAAATTGGGCTTATAAATTATGAACCACAGGATTATAATTATTTGAAAATAAATATACACCTATAATTCTTTATTTGCAAGTACACATTTCAAAAGTTTTAAATACCTAAGGATTTTCATTTAGTTTGATAAAATTTGACCTTAGCTGATGGGGGCTATTTATGGTTTTTATTAGTCCCATTTGACATAACTGCTCAGATTCTTCACAGCAGTAATAATAATATTTGAGTACAGGTGGCTAGATGAGATGCCACTAGAGATGTTCCTTACTATACAGCATACTGGATATTTACCCAAAGAAAACAAAAGTACTAATTTGAAAAGATAAGGTGCATCCTTATGTTGATTTCAGCAGTATTTCCAATAGTCAAGATAGGGAAGAAATCCAAGCGTCCATCAATAGATGAAGTGATAAAGAAGATGTGGTGTGCAGACACACACACTAGGATATTACTCAGCCATAAAAAAGAATGAGGCCTTGTCATTTGTGACAACATGGGCAGACCTAGAGGGTATTATGCTAAGTGAAAGAAGTCATACAGAAAGACAAGTACCCTATGATTTCACTTATATCATGGAACCTAAAAACCAAAACAGACAAACAAAAAAAGTAGAGACAGACCCATTAATACAGTGAACAGACTGACAATTGTGGGAGAGAAAAGGCAAAAGGGCAAAATGGGTGAAAGGGAGTAGGAGACATAGGCTTCCATTATGGAATTATTCCAGTTATGGATATATATTCCACATTATTCCAGTTATGGAATGAGTAAGTCATGAGGATGAAATGTACAGGATAGTGAATATAGACAATAATATTGTAATAGTATTGTATGGTGACAGACAGTAGCAACACTTGTGGCAAACATGGCATAATATATAGAGTTGTTGAATCACTAGGTTGTGCACCGGAAACTAAGGTAAAATTGTGTGTCATATCTCAATAAAAAAAAACTAAAAAGATCACTATATATTCATCACCTTACCTTTCTAAAATCTAAACATTTTTTTTTAAAGATTTTATTTATTTATCTGACAGAGATCACAAGTAGATGGAGAGGCTGGCAGAGAGAGAGAGAGAGGGAAGCAGGCTCCCTGCTGAGCAGAGAGCCCGATGCGGAACTCGATCCCAGGACCCTGAGATCATGACCCGAGCCAAAGACAGCGGCTCAACCCACTGAGCCACCCAGGCGCCCCATAAAATCTAAACATTTTTAAATTGTGAGGCAAATCTAACCCCCTGGGTTTCAGATAAGATACTGTAAAAGTCATAAATCCGATAAATTTTGTGTTATGGTGATATAAGTTTAATTTTTTTTTAATTTTTTTCCTATCTGATAATTTATTTAAAATTTGGCTCCCATAGGGAACCTGGTTGGCTCAGTTGGTAGAGCACACAACTCTTGATCTTGGGGTCATGAGTTCAATCCCCACACTGAGTAGTAGATAGCTTACATGAAAAATAAAAATAATGAAAATTAAAATAAAATAAAATTTGCCTCCCGAATAATTCTCTATTTGTATTAATATAAATAGTAATATGACAAACGTCTTAAGTATACAGATTACGAATTTGGTTTTTGTCTTTTTTGTTTGATAGTGTTAAGAAATCCATAATATAAA